AACGCGCGGTGGGAAAGCACCGAAGAAATGCGGAGCGTGGGAAAAGAGGCTGCTTGCGTGGAAAGCTGAAAAAATCAGGCTGCCCTTAGTGCAGTGGTTCCCAAACTTGGCAACTTTAAGACTTGTGGACTTCAACTCCCAGAATTCTCCAGCCAGCTCAGCAGAGCTGGCTGGAGAATTCTGGGAGTTGAAGTCCACAAGTCTTAAAGTTGCCAAGTTTGGGAACCACTGATTTATGGCTTTGGATGAGACCCACCATCTGCTCCATTGTTCAGCTCTGGATGAGCCCCTGGTTTTTGTCCCATTTTTTCCCTTCCTCGAGTTCTGTTGGGCTTGCCTCTTAAAGAGAAAACTTTCGGGTTCTTCCGTTGATCGATGTGGAATGATTTTGTCTCATCTCTGTTTTGAGGGGGGGGAAGAAGAAACAGAACGCGCGGTGGGAAAGCACCGAAGAAATGCGGAGCGTGGGAAAAGAGGCTGCTTGCGTGGATGCAGGGAATGAAAATTAAGATGAGGAATTTAAGGAGCGCTCGGGGGGGGGGCAAGCCAGAGAGCAAGGCGAAGGAAGGCACCCTGTCAATCATCACAATGATAATAATAATAACGAGGATGAGGCCGACGGTGCTTGAGACCCCGGCACTAAGAAATAATCCATAGCCGAGCGTGAAGTCCACGAGAAATCCAGCGTTTGGATGGATGCACAGAATAATATCCATTTTTTTTGGGGGGGGGAGTCTTTTTTGTCAAGGGGAGACCAGCCCTCTCCCCTTTTCATGGGGAGGAAAGGGGGGGGTCTCCTCTCTGTGGTTTTAATATGCAATCTGGATTACACAGAAGCGTCTCAACAGGAAGTCCCCCCCGTGCTCCTAGCCTGTCTGGTACCCTGAGTTAATTGTCAGGTTTTATTAAAAATTGTAATGGATGGGATTTATTTTAATATCCCCCAAGCTGCTCTCTGTGCCAGGCGATGGAAATGAGGCTGCGTCCGGCTCCAGGGATGCGGGGGGGGGGGGAGAGACCCGTTTTCTTGCCAGAGGCAGTAAGAGAGAAGATCTGCGGGAAGCAGAGAGGGGATGGGGGGGGCTCTGCGGATGGCAAGGGGGAGGGTCTGATTTATTTACCCTTCCGAGGAGCTGGCCGGGCACCCTTAGAAGCCAAACTCCAACGCTTGCCCTGAGATAAAGCCCCTCTCTGCATGCAAGGACGGGAGGGGAGCCCAGCAGACGGGCCCAGAGTGGTGCCAGCCGCTGCCCACCTGGCCATGAAGGGCTTGGGCAAAGAGACCACAGCGCTTCCCGAACAATTCTCTTTTCTGGGCTGGTGCCATGCCTTGGGTCTAGTTAGCCCACCCTGGGGATTGGCAGCCAAGCCTGGGGGGACAATGCAGCTATAGGGGGGTGTATGGAAGGGGCAGCGGCCAGCCTGCCAGAAGCTGCAGTGCTTGGCGATGGTCCATCCTCACCTCCAAGTAGGTGGGACTTCTAGCCGATGCTGGAGGCCTCCCATGGGCTGGTTGTTGGCCTCCTCAGCGTCATAAATCAACTCAAAGCTCCCCTTTTGCTCACCTGCCCTCTTCCTCCTCCTGCCCCCCAGGGATGAGCCTGCAAGGCTTTGTGGAGGCCATTTGCTTGCTAGCCCAGAGGAGGTACAAGTCCCTCTCGCTGCACGAGCAGGTGGAGCTCCTCCTGGACTACTGCGAGTACAACTTGGCTGCCCTGGATGAGAAGCGCCTGGCCTGCAGCCGAAGCCTCTCCAGTACCCAAGCCACTCTGGTCACCTGCCCGCAAGACCAGCTGCAGCTCAGCCCGGCCACGCCCGCCTCGGCTGCCTTGCACAGAAGGCAGAAGTTTGTCGACTGCAGGAGCTCCCAGCCCTGAAGAGCCCTTGAAGGTCCCGCCGGCCTGATGCCCAGCCTGTGCTGCAGGAGGGGCAGCTGTGCCCAGCCCTCCCTTTAGAGACATTTTGGGGGGGGGCTGCGTGGCTTGACTGATACTCCTCAGTCAAAGTCCTTTTTGGCGTGGCCTGTTGGCGCATCATCAGAAGGGAGAGGCGAGGGGGATCCTGGATCTAAGCACATCTTCTGCAGCCAAGCAGAGGCACCTCCAGTGAGGAGCCCCCTTGCCCGAGGGAGCCCAGTCTCCAGGGGAGGGGGGAGGGGAGGGGGAAGGTTTGGCAGGAGGGGCAGAGGTCACAAGATTGGTGGGGCACAAAGTGAAGAGGGTGAAGAGCAAAACATACAGTGAACTAAAATCCTATTTATCTTTGCCAGCTGCTTTGCAAGCATCGTCTTCATTGGGGGGGGGGCTAGGTGTGTGTGTGTGTGTGTGTGTGAGAGAGAGAGAGAGAGAGAGAGAGGCAGCATGGGAGTGTTTGTGTTGCATGGAGGGGGAATCCTAGAGGTGGGTTCCTACCAGTTCGCACCAGTTCGGTAGAACTGGTTCGTCAAATCTACCGAACCGGTTAGAAGAGGTTCCACCAGTGGACCCAGAAAGCAGGCCACACCTACAGAAGAGGTTCCAAAAAATTTTGAAACCCACCACTGACACACACAAACACACAAACACACACACACACACACACACACACACACACACACACA